AGAATATTTTGGAGAGGAAGTTGAACTGCATAGATTTGATATGGCTGAAATCGCAGCTGCAACTAATAACTTTTCGCTTCCAAATAAGATTGGAGAAGGTGGATTTGGTAGTGTTCATAAGGTGAGGTTTGCTTTTCCTTGCTTAGCTAGGAAATTAATATGGTGATTTGAACTTCCATTTGTCTGCTAATGCTATTCTATCGTTGTAGGGTCTGTTATCTACAGGGCAGAAAGTTGCTGTTAAAAGGAGAGCACGGCACTACCAAGGCAACACCGAATTTAAAAATGAAGTTCTTCGGCTTTCCAAAATTCAGCATCAAAACATCATTAAAGTACTTGGATATTGCATTCGTGGAGAAGAAAGGATAATTGTATATGATCTCATGGAGAACAAATCTCTAGATGCTCACCTATTTGGTTATATTCTCCAGTCCTCCGAATTTTCTAAGATTACACTGTAGATTCTGGAATATAATATTCTTACTTCTGCATTAACTAAATTCTGATCAAACATATATGAGCTAACTTGACTTGAAATGAGACAGGTGAAACGAGACATGAACTTATCTTCACCAAGATTCAGGATGGACCACACGTTTCAAAATCATTACTGGTATTGCTCGTGGAGTTCTTTATCTTCACCAAGATTCAGGATTGAGAATTATTCACAGAGATATCAAAGCAAGTAATATTTTACTTGACAGAGAGATGAACCCTAAACTTTCAGATTTCGGTCTTGCTAGAAATTTAGAAGAATATCAAACTGAAACGGAAACCTCAAGGATTGTCGGGACATAGTAAGTATCAAGACAACCAAGTGTGCTTTTAATTCTACCTTTGTCTAAAGTAACATACTAATTTCTGTAATTTGTCTAATATTGGTATACAGTGGGTATATGTCTCCAGAATATGCCATGCATGGTATATTCTCAGTTAAGTCAGACGTGTTCAGTTTCGGAGTTCTTGTCCTAGAGATTGTGAGTGGAAGAAGTATTAATCATGCTTCTCCTGACCTTATTAAGTGTGTAAGTAAAGGAATCAACTTAAAGATTATCCTCGTAATACTTGATGTCACCAAATTGACACTAAGAAATGAGTCGTTTATATTTAGTATATGTTAAGGCCAGGCCGACGTGGAACGAAGGAAAAGCATTAGAATTTTTAGAAAAATCAATGAAGGGTGAGTTTCCAGCAGATGA